AACCGAGCGGGCCCGGGCCAGCGCCCAGACCTCGCTGCACGTCCCCTATGGCAAAGGGGACAGGGAGAAGCTGGACATCTATTTCCCCACGGACCATTCTGGGAGTAAGTGACAGAGACGGTGAGGACAGGGGTGGGCAGGGGTCGGATCCTCTGCTCACCCCCCACTGCACTGTGCAGCCTTCCCGGTCCTGGTCTACATCCATGGCGGATACTGGCAGTGCCTGAGGTGAGGTGGGATCCCTTGGGAAGGGACTCCCCCTGCCCACCCTTACTGACTCCCTTCTCCTGACACTGGGACTCTCTGGGTACGTGGGGTCTGACCAGTCCCCAGGTGGCCCCCACAGCCTGTCTCTCTTCCCCAGTAAGGACGAGTCGGGGTTTGCAGCCCCCCCGCTGGTGTCGCAGGGGGTGGCGGTGGTGGCGGTGGGGTACGACACAGCCCCCAGAGGTGGGTGTCACCCTGCAGAGGCTGTGGCTGCGCATGGCCTGGCGCCCTCTGACCCTGCCCTCTGCCCTCTGCCCAGGCCACATGGACACTATGGTTCTGCAGGTGTGCCGCAGCCTTGCCTTCCTGGTGGAGCAGTACCCTGAGATCAGGTGGGCAGCTCCCAGGGGGGCTGATGTGTGAGCATGGCTGGGGGGGCAAACGAGCCTTGCGCCAGGACAAAGACTCCAGCACCTCAGCCCAAGTGCTGGGCAGTGCCTGCAGCCCTGATCCTATCACTGCACAAGGCAGCAGCTGATGGATTAGGAGACATCCGAGCTGCTGTGTTCAGGCGTGCTGCCCTCTCCGCATGGAGCAGGATGTCCCTAGGTGTCCCCAGGTGTCCCTGCCAGTCACTCCCTGAACTGGCTCACGGCTCTCTCCTTCCAGAGGCATTTACCTGTGTGGGCACTCGGCAGGGGCTCACCTGGCAGCCATGGTGCTGTTCACAGACTGGACGGAATTCCACGTGGTGCCAGATATCAAAGGTAGGGTTGGCGTATCCCAGTGCAGAGGCTGGAGGAGAACTGGTCTCTGCACTTGGAACAAGGCTGTGGGGCTGTCGAACCGAGGGGATGAGCTGCCCAATGATGAGGTCCCCAGGGTTGTGGGAGCCACCCAAGCTGTGGCCTCTCACTTGCCAGTGCCTCTGCCTTCAGGAGCAGTGCTGGTGAGCGGCGTGTACGATCTGGAGCCCATCCTGCACACCTATGTGAACGATGCTCTGAACATGAGCCGGTGAGCCTGCACACTGCAGGGACAGCCACAGGGACAGGGCACAGGCAGGCACACATCAGTGGCTCTGTGGCCGCTCTGTGCCTGTGCCACCCCCTGGCTGATGAGCCCAGCCAAGGACATGGCTGTTCTTGGAGCGAGGGGCTGTGTCAGCTGCCACTGCGGTGACTCCTGCAGGGAGGTGGCCCAGAGGAATAGTCCCATGCGACACGTTGCCCCGGCGGTGCCAGCGGCCTGTGAGGTGCTTGTGGTCGTGGCCCAGCACGACTCCCCGGAGTTTCGCAGGCAGTCGCAGGAGTACAGCCAGGTGAGCTCCAGCAGCGCCCTGCCCAGCTCCATGGGAGTGCTGCTCCAGCTGGCCCTCGCCAATGTGTCCAGCTGGGATGAAGAGCTCGCATGCTGGACCAAAGCGGCGCTTCTGGCTTGGGGAAGGACACCAGTCCTTGCCAAGCTGTCATTCCTGCTGCCCTGTGCAGGGCAGGTGGGCGTTGAGGTCCCTCCTGCCAGCACCGCTCTCTCCGCAGGCCCTGCGTGCAGCCGGCTGGTCCGTCTCCCTGCTGGATCTGGCCGGTGTGGATCACTTTGATGTCATTGAGAAGCTGTCAGAGAACAGCTACATCCTCACTCAGGTAGGCAGGAGGGCTGTGCTGAGACAGATCAGGTGGGTGCAGGGCTGGCTGTCACCTCCCTGTGGGGAGGAGCGGGGCCAGCTGCTGCTCACAGGGCTTGGTTCCTCATCCCAGGTCATTCTGAACATGATTTCAAGAGCATGATGGCATGTTGAGAGCAAACAGACAGGGACCATGGCCCTGCATGACGGCACCAGGCAGCCAGTGTTCCCCTTGCCCATTGCCTCCTTGCTCCAGCACAGGGTGGCCACTGCCTCAGACCCCCCTGGCCCCTTCTGCTCTGCCCACCCTAGGCTGGTGCCCCTTTCCTGGGGTCTTCCTGCCTTCCTGCCTGCCGGAGCATGAGGGGCTGAGGGCTGCAAGGCTCTGTCCAGACAACTGGTTGATGAAGATCATTCCCTCAGTGTCCTTTAAACTGCATATTGTCAATACAAAATAAAACAAGAATTACTGTTGCCTGGGGTAGCTGCTTCCCAGGGAGCCAGTGAGTGCACACCCAGTGTGACTACTGCTGAGGGAATCCCTTCTTCCAGCACAGAGTTCTGGGCTGCAGACTCACTGACCCAGGACATAACAGAGAAGCCTGGGGAGCCCACCTGTGGCTGCAGGACTGGGATGACACAAACCTCTGGGAATGGGGGTGATGGAGCCATCTAAGCCAGGCTGGGCTCATGCTCCTGGGACAGTCCTGGCCAGACACAAACCTTGGCGCTGCTGTGCAGTGACTCTGGTCCTCTGGATGAGATGCTTCCATGTCCTCAGGAGCATTTGTCCCTCCATGGGGACTTTGGCCAAAATGTCCCTGCTGCAGAGGCAAGAGAGCCAGGCACACTTAAAACACCCCACACAGCCACAGTACTGCCAGAAAACATTTATTTTGTGCACTGACCACCCCAAGGACTGGGGTCTCCCCCAGGCTGGGCTCACCCCGGTTTGTCAGTCTGCCTGTGGGGACAGATGATGTGTTTCAGTCAGCTGGGAACACACCTGGAGCACACAGGGGCTGGTCCCAGCCCCTGCACTGTGGGCTGGCCTACCTGCTTCAGCCGGGGGGGCTGGGAGGATGCTCAGGCTCCCTCTGTGCCCAAAGGAGTCGGATGCAGTCCCAGGGCCAGCTTCTCCTGACACTTCCTGGCAACAAACTCCAGCTTGCTCCTTGCGAGCTCAGTGTCGTGGGCCGAGATGTCGCGGTGCCAGACGGCACGCACGGTGTGTGCCGACCAGGGGAACAGCAGGACGCTGACAGCCTGCCCGGTCTCAGCCACCTCCTCTTCGCTGGTGGCACGCAGGTGATCGCAGAGCTCGGCAGGGGATGGCCAGGCCCCCCGGACATTTACCATCACGATGTTGGTCTCCACCGCTGCCAGGTTAACAGAGCAGAGAGGCAAGTCCAGCACATGGATGCCTGTGGGAGGCCGGGGTGGTGGGTGCAAGCCCAGTGCCTGGCTACCTGGGAGAGGCTACCTGCCCCAGCCATGCCCCAGGTCCTGGCTGAAGGGGGGCCCTTTACTCCGCCGTGTGGTACCAGGGTCATTGCGGGCACCATGGGGATGGTCACAGAATCACCCCAGCACTCCAGACAGGTGAGGATCCCAGCAGCATCCTCACCTGGCTGGAGACCCAGCATGACCACTGGGGCATGGTGCCTGAGCCAGCACTACCCCAGCAGTGCCTGGCAGTGCTGG